TTTTCTCACTTGGCTTAATTAGAAACCTCACCAAAGACATAACTGAATTAGCATCAGTGTTGCTCTTAGATGGAGTTTTTTATCTGCCTCTTATGATTTCAGTGAAAAGAGTTCACTGGAAGTCCAAAGTTGTAGCGCTTAACTTAAAAACTTATAAGTATACTAAAGTTAAATTGAATATTTCTTCCTATTAACATTAATACTAACCAATAAATCATAGGGTATCAATTTTGAATCCTAGGATAGGGGAACAAATCTCTTTATTTTCTTGATCCTGTAGCTCTGATTAATTTACCTAAGGATTGTGTGAGCCAACAACTGACAGGACTGTGCTGGAAATCAGTCTTAACTAGCACAGCCAATGGTGAAGCCTGGTGGGAATGGCACTCGAGCATTATCTAGAAGGCCACAAATTGCCAATCTGGCTTTAGCTGTTTCTAGGGGGTACAATGAATTAATTGAATGGCTTTAAAAAGAAATCATTCTAAACTTCATGGCCTCATTTTCATTATACTCTTAGCATATGCGGAAGGAAATGTTAACTCTTCCTCACAGATCCTGGAGAAGAGTGTCCACCTTACAAACAGTTAGCATTTGGTTGGGGGTTCCCATGAGTATCGTTTAAGAGTTTTTTTCTCCAGGGCTAATTGTAGCAGATGCTGTTTTCAGCAGGATTACAGTATGGCACGGTAAACCTTTATTCGCATAAAACAGTATGAACGGGGAAATAAAACACAAAGGAAGAAGAATCACAGGGTGAATAGACATAGTCAACGTTAAATGAGGGAGTACAAATGATGATAAGTAATACAAAATACCCAGGGAATGGGGTAAAGTTCTACATTATGAGGCAACAGTGAGTTCCATAATTACAACTAGATACCGGTACTTAGCCACTGCCTCGGTGAGGGGAGCACAGCAGACACTCAAGAAAAAAATAGGGAGAAGGTCAGGAAAAAAATCCTAAAAGGGAATCAACCAATGATCTTAAAGGAGTCTCTGAAAGGAGTAATGTGTTGGACATCTCAATTGAATATGATCAGGCAACAAATGACAGAAAAGGCACAGTCTTTTTCCTTTAGGGATTTTGGAAAAGCGTCCATAATGCATAGCCGACGGGAAGATGTTAAACCGGGCTAGCATGCTAGCCCTCCGCCACTTAGGATTAATCAGTAGGTTGAAATAATTTAAAGGATGTTCTAAAGAAGGGGATAAACCGAAAACTTTTGAAGAGCAAGAGGGATTAAGGAGATCCCGTAGGATTGAGACATGACGGATTGAATGGCAGCTTAGATCGATTTAAACTGGGTTAATGGAGAAAGGGTTAAACCTTACCCCTAACCTCAACTTGGTGCTATGGCTTTACTCACAGATCTTCTGCATCCACTGTAGGATGCTATGCCTTCTTGGTTCTGTTTTATTACATAGAAGCATGGACCTTAATACTGACAACTGCAAAAAAATAGAAGTATTTCAAATGCAAATTTATCTGAGAATGGTAATAATTTCTTGTATCAAATGGGGTAACCGATGAAGAAGTACTAAGGGGAATTAATGAAGATCAAAAGGCTAATAAAAAGCGCAAAGTGCATAAAACTGAAATACTCTTGTCATATAGTAAGAGAAGACAGATTGTTGTAGTAGGTCACTCAAGGTAAAATAAAGACATTCTTAGCTGAAGAGGTTGGGAGACCGGTTTAGCCACAGCATAACTTCATTTTTCAGAGCTGCCACATCCAGTCACTTTAACTGTGCTGATGTCAAACCTCAGATGGGAGAGGACCAAGGAGGAGAAAAAGAGAAGCTAAATTAAATGCATAACTGTTTTGTTCAGTTAATTTCATTGGAACTTTGTCATGACTAAATTTAACTGGACTGCAGCCAAAATAATAAAAATCTTTGAACTGGATTCAGTGTGCAGGGAGCCAATCTTTTCCATTTCTTCTGATTTAATAATAGATTGCACTAAATGCATATAATAAGGAATTGCCTTTTATTGTCAGAGAAATCTTTGATGCTTTCTATTATCTAGAAGTAATATTCACAGCATAATAGTCATATTATATACATTAAAAATGTAACAAAACACATGTTTGAAAATATGCATGTGATAGAGGTAAACACCTCAGGGGATTCCCAGTTGGCTGCAGCTCCTGGTGGTATCTACCCATATGGGGGGAGACATGTTTTCATGATATAAAGCATGGAATTGCATTGAAGTTGTTCATTCCCTCTAGTAGTAAACAGCTTGTCAAGTTTCTATCAGTCTGGAAGCAAAATGGGGCTACTTAGAATCAATGTACTGGTTTCTACATATTTAAAAGTACCTCAGAAGTATGTGAGTGTGTAATTTAAAATGCCAAAAAAAAAACCCACACACTCCACCTTATGAGCTTCAATGCCCTTTGAGTGTCCTGGCCCTGCAGAATATTGAAGAGACAGATGAAGAGACAGATGTATAAATTTTTTAGAGCATGGATAGGGAAGAGCTGGCCTCCTGATAATATATGGCCTGGTGAACCTTTTCATCCAGCCTACTTCCTCTCCCTGTCTATCGTATTAACTGCTCTGTCATGACAATCCAAAAAATACTGGAATTCACATCTTCTCAGATGATAAAATAGGTGCAGCACAAAGACTGGTGAGAAAGGCAAAACAGTGATCACCATGAGGAAAGCACATGACGGCACAGTAGCTTGAATAGACAGAAGTAGGCCTGCTAGTTTCTGTGCACTGTGGTCACGCTTCCAAGCTTGTGCATGTACCTGAAGGCTTGTCTCCCACGTCTTGTTTTCCTGACTGCAGACATGGCCTTCTCCCTGTCTCCAAGGATGTGTTTTCTACTCTCTATAGCCCTGTCTGCTTGCAGAAAAAGAAAATGTCCATGCTTCTGGGTGGATAGTCCTTGGATAATTCATGGAATGAGGGAGAGACAAACACCTGAACAGAAAACTCATGCCTTTTCTATTTCTTTCATTTTCATGAGCCATACTCCTTCCATATCAGAGCTACATTCTGCATTTCTGCATTGTTTTTATAAGCATCACCACTCCGTTCAGCTTGGGGAGGGAAGTGTCTTAACAGAACCAGACACTGGGTCTAATGTGCTGGAATTTATTTATTTATTTATTTATTTATTTATTTGTTTGTTTGTTTGTTTGTTTGTTTGTTTGTTTGTTTGTTTGTTCGTTTGTTCGTTCGTTCGTTCATTCGTTTGTTATTTATTTATTTAGATTTATACCCCGCCCATCTAGACAGATAGTCTACTCTGGGCGGCAAGTCTACTCTTGGCGGCAACACAGTTAAGGTAGATGGCAGCTGAGCTTTGGTATATAGGAGAGGACAGCTGCTGCTTTGTGAGCAAACATGTTTCTAGTTGCAGGAAAATTCAGAGGACGGTTGGACAACATTTTAGCCCTGAGCAAGGGCCATGCATCCATGCACAGTCACATAGTACTAGCAACAACAAAAACACAGTGATCTTGAGACTTTGTTACCTCTTCCAACTCCTAGTAACTTTAAAAGACAGAGGATGGTGTCTCACCACCATCTACCATGAATCACTTGATCAGCTGTACTCCAGAGGGCTGTGAATGAGGTCTCCCTAAGTTTCAAGGAAGTACAGAGAGTAATTGGATGCTGCAGGTTGTACACTCCTGATTTAGAGTTGACTGTCCCACAAAAAGAAGGGGAAGGGGTCTATACAATTCCATTTAAAGCAGAAATTTTAATGTTACTTGTAAGATGTATGTTGGTATGTTGTGTGTACTCTGTCCTGTTGGCTGTTTACATGCAATCTTAATTTTAGGCAGATGCTTAAAGAACTTAGACACAGAAACAGCTGCCAGAAATAGAACGCCTTAAATTCCTCTTTGGCAGCCTTTTCCCTGTGACAAGCTGTTTGTGTACAGTGGCTTGCTGCACAGAATAGGGGATTTTTCTCCATACTATCATCAACATTTTTCAGTGGCTTTCAAAAGGGATATGTTTTATGTGGATGAGACCTTTGAGATGTATTTAGATATCTGCAGTAGGTATTTTTGTAAGTGGCTGTTGACAACCTGAGATTTATTGATAGTTTTGAAGTTTTGAGATTTGAATAAAATTATATATTTCCATACCAAGGGCAGTTTCCCCCATTTCTCTTATTCATTTGAGTAAATGGCATCTCTGTTCAGTATTTCATTGGGCTAAAGTCTGGCCAGCGTATGTTGGGCTAAGAAGTTGAAATAGTATCCTGTTGGACGTTTAAATCATCTTGAATTTTCTTCATGTGGTTAAAATATGTCAGAAGTTAGGAAAAAGATCTCTCTCTGTCTTATACGTGTGAATGAAATATATTTCTGTGCAAATTACAAAGTAATAATTAGACACAATAGGAACAAACATGTAAGCAAAATATGGATATACTGTATGTTTATATTTTCAGTTTGTTTATAGAATTCCTAAGAAGCTGATATATATATTCTAGTATTAGGTTCCACTGCAATTTATGTAGAAGTCACTTCTACTGGGGTGATGGCACATGAATGCTAGTTAATATACAGTGCAAGTTATGGATGATAGTTACAGCTGTGTTAAAAATTTGTGTGTTTAATTAGTGGAATCTGCTCAAGAAACAAGTCTGTGAACAATGATTCAGTGAGGGCCACAAGATGTCACCCTGTAGATTTCATGTTTCAGCCAATGTGTTCAATGTGATTTCTTGCCCAGTGAATGTTTGATCCACATTTAGTAAAAAAAAAAAAAAGTCAACATGTCTATGTGTGTGCTTGTGTTGATCAAGTGAATGTTAAATATCCCTAAATTGCCACAGAGATCAAAGCAGCTCAATCAGTTGAGGGCTGAAAAAAAGCTGAGATATTTTGTTAAAACCTTTTGAACTAAGAACAAAGTAATGAAATCAGGGCACACTGAGAGGCTGCTGCTTTCCTTTTAAATGCAAAAGAAGCATTTGGACTAAAGCAATGGCATTTTAATTCCAATTTCTCCTTGTGTAGGAAAGGATGCACCTGCACCTGAGAGATCACATTTGGGCCCTTCACATAAAGAGCGGATATCATTTCGAGACCATCCAGTTCGGCTCAGCAGTGGATGGGGAAGTGGCAAAAAGAAAGCAAAAGCTTTGAAATAGTCGTTGGATCTTCGGCATTTAAAACATATGGGGGTCTGTTTCTTCTCAGGGGGGCCAGTGAATTTCAATCCTTTTTGGATTCAACAGATGCAACGTTTCTAAGAACCATGGATCCTCTATTTGATTTTACTCTGCATGTCTTTTCGGTTTTGGAAAAAAAAATTCTATAAATGTCAGAAAAATAATATATTGCTTCCATTTGTAATTTATTTTTCCAGCATAGCTCAAGATGAAAACAAATTTCCATAAATATTAAAAGGTGATTTGTAGAACCAGACTAACATATTTGGATATAATAATGGCTTATGATTGCTTACTGATTTGTGATTGAAGTGACCTGATCCACAGTTGAACTAAACGGCTTGTGCTTAAGTTCATTTCCTATTCAATCCACACTACAATCACAGAGAGAGAAAATCAAATTGGCTTGACTGCTTTAGTTAGCTACTTTATAGACTGGATTATATAACTTTTAGAAGCAAAAGGTGGAATGTTCCTCTTTCTCCAAATATTTGAATTATGTGAATATATTTCATGTAAAAATTCTTCAAATTGTACTTAGCACTAAGGATGGATGAGTGCATGCTCACAGTACAATAAAATTCAGTTTTGACAATTCAAATCCATTTCATAATGCTAATTTATGTTTTTCATTCTGGGATATTATATCCATCTTCCTATAATCTGCTCCTCTCGTTTGCAGAATTAAAGTACAGATGTTAAACATTGTGGAGTGGCTCTATCCTTACCAAATACTGTATCATTAAGAATCTACATTTTTTAGTTTTCCGTTGGGTTTACCATTTTCATGCCACAGTCTCATGTGCATTGCATTAACAAATATATGCCATCCTAACTGAAGCAGTTGTTTTGGTTAGCATGGTACAAATTATTGATAGAATCTGGGGATACAATTATAAGGTTTTTAAAACTTTTCTATTTCCTTTTCTGTGATTTTGTCCCAGTGGAGTCTTGACCCACTCAAAGCTACTGTTGATAGAAAACTGGAGATTTTGGTAAATAAAAAAGGATGTATTCATACATTGCGGCTGTGTTCAGAGCATATTATACATTCCCTGAAACAGTAAAGTGCCTATCAAGTTGTCTCTTTTCATTATTGTCCTCATATTAATATGGACTGATTTTTTTTTCTTTATCTGAGACCACAGCAGGGAAAGCTGCTGCAGGATGGAGATGGAAGGGACATCTGAAATATTTTATGGCTTATTCTGTGGTGTATAGAAAGCTGCACAGTTGTCCCGCCATCTGCTTACTGTGCACAAAGATTCAGGTATTGAATTACAATCTGCATTTTAATGTCTCATGCCATGATTCATTAACAGAATTTAAAACAGATGGATTCAGCTTTCAGACTTACCTGCTCTGTCCTTTGATTTTAGAAATCCAAGACCAGTACAGTCACTTAGAAATAAATTCCACTAAAAATCATTTGTGAAATTTGATCTAAATTGGTTGGTACCCAGGTACTTCAATCTTGGTAGATTCCAGAACTGGGATTCCTAACACATATTTAGAAATGTTGTTCTAGATGAGTATCAGTTCTACTCCAAGAAGCTTCCTATTTCCAGTGTAGTATGGTGATTCAGATGTTGGGCTTAGGTAGTTGTGCCTGGTTTGAAATTTTCATTCAGCGGCAACCCTTACCAGAGGACCTTAAGTTACTTCAGTCTAATCTATTCCACAGGATTCATATGAGGATAAAAGGGAGGACTGTATTTGTGGCTTTGAACTCCTTGGAAGAAGGGTTGAATAATCTGATTGACTTCTGTCATCAACATAAGTGAGCGTGAAGAGGCTAGTGGAAATGGGAGATGCGTAAATCAGAGTATGACTATCACATCTCATTCCTAAGCATTACAGCTGCAAAGTCAGACTTGCTTATCTTGAAATTGAGCTCTACTTTTTAATGGCTGGAAATTAAACTTCTTTTTCAATAGTGGAAGTTACTTTTACATATTATTGAGAACATATGAGTATCCCTGTTTTTTTAAAAAAAAAAACCCTGATTACAGTTGATTGTAGTTCCTGTGCATCCTATATAGGAAATGGCCTTGATTCCCACAGTTACTACAGTACACCTCAAACAAAAATTTTACATAGAACTGACAATTTTGTAGGAAAGGACTACAGTAGTAGAAAGTTGCAGGCAGATTTCAATTTCTTTTGGTTTTGCACATTGCATACAGATAGTTGTATGACTACAATAATACCATAGATTGACAAAACTCAGAATGCAAGAATTTTCTGTTTACATTTCTGGCTCTCACAATGAAAATCAAAAATGCATCCAGAAAGTGTGTACTGAAGAAAGCAAAACAAAATAAATTAAGTCTAGTTGAGATTCAGTGGAATGTTTATTTCCTATGTATTCACCAATTGCTCTTGGTTGCAGAGTTGTGTGACGGACTCTGCCAGAAAATTTTAATCATTTTTTAAAAATTAGAATACATTAAAGTTGAGGTTCTACAGTATGCACTAGGAAGAGATCAGTAGGGTTTTGATTAGATTCAACAATAAATTACACTGTCCTGCTGCTGAATTTTGAAAAAAACAGAGTAGAGATATTGGAGAATTAATAGAAACATGTGAAGGCTGCCATCTTTGACACAGGTATTTAAGGAAATAAACAGTTTTCAAGTTTTGTAACAACCTTGCAGCTGATACATGAGATGAGATGAGATGAGATGACCTATCAACATGACTGTGCTTAACAATGTTGCTGGAGCCCAAATCTTTATCAGTCAGACTTATTAAGTCTAAGTACCACTGAAAGCAAGATTGCATTTCTAGGGTGGAAAGGTTGCAAAGTCAGATGAGGTGTCCATTACACTCCTGGGAGGCCATCTCCCAATCCAGAATCAAGGCAAGAACACGATTTCCTGGCAGATGTCAGTGATTCACCCTAATGGTGAAAAGGCAGGTTCTGGAAATCACCGAAATGGAAGATTGCCATTGACCAATGCTCAACTTTCCAATATGGGGGATACATAAACACACCAGGTTTCTGTACATCCGGATCCCTTTAATGTTAGTTGGCTGCAAAGGCTTTTCCACATCACATCAAACAGAGACCAGGCCTGCAGTAGTTAATTTATTGTATCTTCTCAGCTCTGCCAACAGTGTGGGATTCTGCACAGTCCTAATAGTACAGAAGCTTTAGCACTGGAAGGTACCGGGTTCCTAAAAACAATGTGATTCTCTCTGGCTTTTCCCCAGCCTTCTCAAATACTCGGGCAATATTTCACTGTCCAGATGCTTCTTGTATGGATCGGGTTAGAGTCGCATATTCTCTATTAACTCAGATTGAGGGTCTTTTGAATCACTTCTTCCGGCTGCTGATTATAAACTAGCAAATCAAGAAGAGAATTTCCCCTGTGCCGATGCGCCTCGCTTAAGCGCCTGGCCCTTTGGGTATTGGGCCAGACACGCGAGCAAGGCCAAGTGTCCAAAAGGGATAGTTTGATCCCACGCTGTCCCATCATGGTTCCAGAAGGCTTTTCTTGCGTGCCCTATCCTGCGTCAGGTGTGCATGCATGGAAGTGGTGGCTTCGGAGGGAAACCTGGCTGGAAGGAACCGCCTTATTCTGTCTTTAGGGTGCGTGTTTTCTGTGCCGTCAAGTCGGAACCGACTTATAACGACCCTAATAGGGCTTTCAAGATAAATGAGATATTTAAGGAGTGGTTTTACCAATTTCTGCCAATCCCTCAGTCAGTTCCCCTGGCTGAGTGGGGATTCGAGCCTTATCCATCAATCTATTCTACTACACCACACTGGAAACCCGAGGGGTCCGAGCCGAAATAGGCTAGTATACCAAATAGCCCATTCCTCTGCTCTTCTTAGTAAGCTATGGGTGATCTATGGCGGCAGATCTATTCTAGATAGAACTTCAAGTTTCGTCAGGTCGCATCAGAGGAATCACTCAGCTATAATGATGGTTCTGTGGAGGTCAGTTTTAACCGACAGCGGTCACGTAGGAAGCTGTTGCGGTTTCCTTGTTCCTCCGTGAAGGGGGGAAACATGAATAACGGGTTTTCTCTGCCACGATGGTCAGCGCAGGAGGAAGCAGCTGCCTTGCAGGGAGCCAGAATACGGACCTATTCAGCCTCCTCTTGTCTGCAAGGGCGGGCAGCAGTTCCGTTTCCAATATTCAGGCTCAAAAGAGCCGCTGCTGTTGTTGTCCGAAATACACCATCCACAACAAAAGGAACTCTGAGGCTGGTATTGATTAGAGTGAACTCGAGGGTAAGGCCCAAACTGGCTCGCTGAGAACGCATCAAGTGGCCACCTTAGGCATATATCCCGACTTTCAGCGATCCCATGAATGAACGACTTCCAAAACGCCCTATCTTACAGTCCAGGCTAGGGCATTTCTCTTGGGTTCCTTTATTAAGCCAACCCATCTCATGTTAGGGTTGACCTTCGCCTTGCCTGGCACTGTTGTCTTCTCAAGTGGATCTTCTCTTCTCGTGATACGGCCAAATTTGGGCAGCTTGTTACTCCATATGGAGCGTCACCTCTAATCAGGAGGAGCGTCGTCCCCTGCAATCAGGAGACTTGGAAAGTAAAGGGTTAACACCCATTCAACTGATTGTCCAGGAAAGACTTCCGTCCTTTCTTTCTTTCACCAACCCCACTCCTGTCACTGATGATTTCGGGAGAGATAATTAATCAAAGACAAGAACCCGCCCTGGGGCACCTCAGTTCTGTAATCCTGTCTTAAATGTCTTTTACTGGTAGGAGTGCCTCCCGTGGAACTAACCGAGACAGACTTCTGATCAGACTTTGATAGGATTCCGCGATCACGCCAGTGGCGACGTGGGGGGGGATCCTTTTTCATTCGCAGATTATGGACCCCTCGCTTTCAAGCAAAAGTGAGATAGATTACGCGTGACTCCTATTTATGAAAGGAAACTTTAAAATAATAATTCTCCAGCCCAAGATCGTCTCCTGCGTTTAGTCTTAAACCAACTAAAAGTTGCATCTGCGGATGCTCTGAAGATGGTTAAGTTTGACCTGAGCTTTCGCCCGCATAGCCCAGGTCCTGAGCTGGAGATGTCCAGGAAAGCTCCTGTCTGTTAGTCTTAAGAGGCGCCGCTTATACTTTCGTTGTTTTTGCTGCAACAGACTAACGCGTCTGCCTCCTTAAAAACCTTCGACCTGAAGCTGCCACTCTTAGAATTCATGGTGCGCTTTGCAGTTAAAACATCCCGAGGGGCTTCCAGACAACCTGTTCTTTGTGCTGAGAAGGAAATGTGCATGCCCGTAGTGAGAAGTGGAAATGGACAGGGAGGGTGAGGGTGGTGATTCTAGGTTGCCAATTTGGAACGGGAAAACGGTTCCCTACAAACCCCGGCCGGGAAAGCAGGGGTTAAGCAAACTTCGAGGGGATCCGGGATTCAGTACCAACGACGCTCCGGCTTCAGGGGTTCCAAGGAAGCTTGTTCAGAGTCGGGGCGTATCTTTGGGACACCTGATGCCGTAAAATAAGAAGGGGCCCTTTGAAGGTGGGGGCGCCTGCTTTTGATCAAGTCTCACAGTAATAGGATAACAAAGCAGGCAAGGAAAGCTCTCCCTAGCACCACCCCACTCCACCAAGTCCTGAGCGCTGACCCTTTGAAAGGAAGGAGCTACAGCAAAAAAGAAAACGATCTTGATCGAACAACGATCAAGGCCTTACTCCACCTCATTCCTAACTAGTTTTAACGGGTCTTAGGTGTCAGGTCAATGACATTTAGAATAATCCGGTCAGATCCTATGTAACCGTATCCTGTGTGGATGTATTCGGAAGGAAGCTCCCAATCGGAAGATCTGGAGCTTTTATGATGGCAGGTTCCTGCTTATTTGGATTCTTGACAGAATCCTGCCACCAGA